AAAAAAAAAAAAAAAAAAAAAAAGCCCACAGCATCAGGGAACATCAGGAACCCCAAGAAAGAGGGTTGGGCCAGAACATATCCTTTCAAAATCTTCTGGGCTGGGGCCGGGGATGTAGCTCAGTAGCACTGTGCCTGCCTTGCAAAGCATAAGGTCCTGAGTTCGATCCTCAGTACCAAAAACAAAATCTTCTGGGCAGGGGATGTAGCTCTGTTGCTATGCCTGCCTCGGAAATGCAAGATCCCAAGTTCGGTACCCAGTCTGGGGGTGGGGATGATCTTCTCCTGGGGCTGTGGGTACAGCTCAGCGGTAAAGTGCTTGCCTAGGATGCAAGGCCCTGGGTCCGGCCCCTCCAGAAATTAAAAAACTTTGTTTTCTTCACAATCCTAATACTAACACCATGCATGTCACTGTCAGACCCGGAGAATGCAAACCAGACCACCCGAACAGGTACTTACTATATCTTGGCAAATGTAACCAATAGCTTCCAATGTTGACTCTTTCATGTGCTCTGTGCTGTTGGGGTTTGTGACGTTGGCGACCAGCTGAGGAATGAGCTCTGGCCATTGGTTTACTGGGATCTCTGCACAAGCAATACCAGCCACACACTGCGAGGCAGAGCTGGGCCGGTAAGTTTCTGTGCCCAAGGTCTGTAAAACCTGGAAAAAAAGAGGAGGTTAAACTAGATCCACATCCAATACCGTTGAGCGTATTTTGCCTAAAACCATGCCCCTTGTATCACTGCCCCTGAAAAACAAGTCCCAAAACAAACAACAAAAAACCCAAAGCCAACCTTATCACCCACACAACCAACAGTCCCCAGAACCTGAAAGCAAAACCAACAATCCCCACTGCCAGCAGGAACTCTCTAAAAGCACACACACCTCACTTTCACAAGCAGGAAAAACTAGCAGTCAAGAAGACGGGGCATTAAAAGGCAACGGGGAGAGGGAGGGGACAAAATTCAGCTTCCAGGCTCTTAGCTGGGGGGCATGGGAGGGATGCTCAGCCTCCTATAGAGTAAGTATAACTAACCGTGGGGCGCCTGGGTGGGTGCAACTCACACAAGGCCACTGCCTAATTCAAGGAGAAGATCTTCTCATCACCATGGGAAACAAACCTTTCCCGACACCAGTGACCCAGCACCCAGTATGACTTGCTCGGAAAGACCTGCTCAGGCACATCTCTAAAGGCAGAAACAAAGTTACTAATGCTGCCAAAACCTAAGGCCCTATCCTCCCTCACCTTCCAAGCAGAAAGGATACATTCTGTTTGCCCAAGAATCCAAGAACTGTGACAGACCACAAACTCATCATACCACCCATGCAGGTGCGATCCTCTCCTCTTACTGTCTCACCGGAAGTGGAAACCAAGGGGGCACTGGTGCAGGCGAAGGCTGGCTCTGCCCAGGGTTAATCACCACCACCAGCTAATTCAGCCAATGAACTCCCTGAGAACCCCAGCCCTTGCGAACCCCAGCCCTTGCGAACCCCAACAGTCCCTGGCTGGAGGGCAGGACAAAGAGCTGCCAGCTATATGCCAGCCCTGCGGACCAGGCACAGTGCTCTGCAGGGCCGAGCCGAGGCCGAGCGCCGTCTTTCCTTCCTGGTCAGCCAGGCCACCCTGCCTCCACGGCTCTACCGGGGATCCAGCCCTTCCTTTCTAAAGGGCTTTGCTCCTTTCAGCGACATTAACAAAAACTGCAGGCCTAAGAGAAGGTGAAGCGAGGGAGAATGAGGTAGGTCCCCCAAGCGCTGGAGGCTGAATGGGTTATCGGCCCACCCGAGTCGGATTCAAGTCCAAGTCTAAAGATGCTTGGGGGGGGTGAATTTAAAAAAATTTAAACGACAAAAATTACAGAAATGAGGTGCCATGCAATGTTCTGATACATGCACACCCTGTGTAAAGGTCGAAAGTGCAAAGCTATCTGTGCTATCTCCTCAAATGCTGTATCGTTTCCTTGCAGTCCAGGCATCCTAACCCGGTCCGCCAGCTCTGCTGACATGTTACCACAGCTCCTCTGCCGCGACCCCAGAACCTATTTCTCCTGTCCAGCACCCCCTCCTTTCTCCAGGGTGCGCCCCTCTGCACTGTCTCCTAGTAGCTGTGCAGCTGTACTGTAAAGCAAAGGTGAGCGGAAGATTATTGGTTAATATTTCAGGGAAGCCAAGACGTTGGTGCCCAGTAATCTCGGCTCTGTGAGAGGCTGAGGCAGGAGGTTTGCAAGCTCAAGCCTGGGCAACTTAGCCGAACGCCTATCTCAAAATGAAAAAGGGCTGGGAGCCAGGCAAGGTGGCACATGCTCATAATCTTCAGGAGTGTGATATTACAGCAAACTCGGGCCAAGCCTGGGGAACTTCGTGAGATTGTCTCCAAATAAAACACAAAGAAAGGGGATAAATAAAAAAAACACAAATGTTCAACTTCTGATTATTGAAATGGAAAAGAAAAAATTCTTGCCAGGTGTGCTGGCACACACCTGTAATCCCAGCACTTGGGAGGCTGAGGCAGGAGGATCTCTGTGACTTGGAGACCAGCCTGGGCTACATAGTCAGTTCCAAGCCAGTCTCAACTACATAGTGAGACCCTGTCTTGAAAAAGCAAAAAAAGAAAAAAAATCTTACCTAGGAGTTTCGACGCACTAATATTCAAAATCAGAAATAAAGGAATGGGGTGGGGGATTTGGCTCAGCAGTTTGGCTGCCTGCCTCACAAGGGCAAGGGTCCAAGTTCGACCCCCAGCACCGCCCCCAAAAGAAACAAAAGGAATGAGCTAGAGAGAGAGGCACAGTTTAGTCACAGGTGTTTGGATGCTTGAGGTAGAACTGCCTGAGCACAGCATAAGCAACAGACTCATATTCCAGAGAGGGAGAGAGAAAGAGAAAGAGACAGAGAGCAAGAAGGAGAATGCTTTGAATATCCAGATTAAAAACAAAAATCCAGGCGTGACAGCGCACACCTGTAATCCCAACACTCGGGAAGCTGAGGCAGGAGGATCAGCCTGGGCTACACAGTGATACCTAACTCAAAATACCCCCGGCCAAAAGACCAGGCACACTGAGAGACATCAGCTGCCAACTCCGCTCTCATAAGAGGCCCTGCTTCACTGCCTAGGCTGGTCTCTAACTCCTGGGCTCAAGCCATTCCCCGCCTCAGCTTCCCTAGCAGCTGGAATTATGGGAACATCACTGCATCTGGCTCATTCTAACTTTTTACAGGCAGGCAAAAGGATCCAACCGTACCAATATATGATTTTTTAAAATGTTGGTGTTAAAAGAGCGATGCGCCAAAACACACAAACACAGTTCAAATCACGCCTTACCTCATTTACTACAGCACTGTACAAAGTGGGACAGGTGAGACACCGAATGGGCACTGCGGGCATCAAGATTTCCAGCGACAGCCTCGCAAGTGCAAGGACGAGTCTGATCTCCATACCAAAAAAAAATTTCCAGTGATGAGGACAGGGATTTAGCTCAGTGGTTCTGCTGCTTACTTAGCAAATGCAGGGACCTGAATTTAATCCCCAGTAGCAAAAAAAAAAAAAAAAAAAAGGATTTCCAGTGATAAGCCAGGCTACACCTGAAATCCCAACATTCTGAGAGGCTGAGGCAGGAAAATCACAAGTTCAAACCCAGGCTGGGCAACTTAGCATGACCCTGTCTCAAAATACAAAATGCACTGGGTCCAATCTCTGGTGCGCGCCCTTCTCCCCAAAACGATTCCCAGTGATGAACGAGGCAGCAGCACACGCCTGGGTGGTTGCCTTGAGCCTCGGAGCTCTCAACTCAAAGGAAACAGAGAAGGGAAAAAAAAAAGATCTCCAGGGATGGGCCATACTTCATCCCTGTCAAACATCTAGGGGTGCGGGGGCTTACAATCTCGGCACAGATCTGGGAGGCTGAGGCGGGAGGACTGAAATGTCCAGCCCAGCCTGGACAACGTAACGACTAAGACCATGTCTCAAATTAAAAAAGAAAACGGGCAGGGAAGTAGCTCAGTGTCAAAGTCCAGGGTTCCATCCCAGCACCATCACCAAAAAAATCACACAAGCATAATGTGCAATAGAAACTTTCCACTGCAAAAACTATTCAAAATAAAAGTGGCTTCTAAGTCAGTTCCTGTGACAGGTGCCTTCAAGCAAAGCTGGAGAAAACAGAAGCAGAAAAAGAAGTTGCTGCCTTAAGGAACGCTAATTTACCTAACACCAGCATCTGCAGGAAACAAACAGCAAACAGATAAATAACCGTGACCTGCCCAGGGCAAATGCAGGATTCACCCAGATTCCCTCACTCTCCAAGGAGGAGCAGAACAGAGCAGAGCTGGGTGGTGCACACACCTGTGATCCCAGCAAACTGGGAGGCTAAGGCAAGAGGGAGGCCAGTTTGAACGCAGCCTTGACAACTTAGCGACACAGTGAGACCCTGGCTCACAATAAAAATGGGTGATGATGGAACTCAGTGCCAATGTTCTGAGCTTAATCCCCAGTACCCCAAAATAAACCAAAGAAAGAAATCCATAAATGTAAGTCAAAATGACAAGTGCACAGATTTTAAATTCTCTTTAGATCTTGTCCATGAAAGAAGGCTACTAAAGAACCTCCCGGAGCCAGGCGTGGTGGTGTAATCCCAGCACTTCGGAGGCTGAGGCAGGAGGATCACTGTGAATTCGAAACCAAGTTGGGTTACATAGTGAATTCCAGGTCAGTCTCAATTACATAGTGAGACCCTGTCTCAAAAAAACCAAAAAACAAAAACAACACCAAAAAAACCAAAAAACAAAAAACAACAAAAAAGCCAAACAAACAAAACAAAAAAGAACCTCACCAAGGGGCCAGGGATTTAGCTCAGTGGTTCTGCCACCTGCCTGCAAGAGCAAAGACCAGTGTTCTATCCCTAGTACCGAGAAAAAAAAAAAAAGAAAAAAGAAAAAACCTCACTGAAAATAAAAGCAAAAAATGAGAATCAAGACCTAGTATGTAAAGGTACAGGATCCCAATAATGAATTTAACTGTGTTGTATACTTAGATTGTACCAGTAAACTCAATAAAAAGAAAAGAGAAAAAAACAGGTAAGATAAAAAGAAAAAAAGAAAAGCAAACTTGTCCACATGTATTTATTTACCCTTAAATCCTTTGCTTTAGCTGGAATTACAGATTTTTTTTTTTTGGTACCAGGGATGGAACTCAGGACCTGCGCTTGCAAGGCAGGTGGTGGAATCAATCACTGAGCTAAATCCCTGGCCCCGGAATTACAGATTTTTAATTCAACAAGTCACAAGAATGCCACGATGCACAGCAACAAAGGACATTCCATTTTTTCCAAAATTCTTCACTTCATTCATCCAACCACCATGCAGAGAAAGGGTTTTTAAAGAATAGGTTTCTGTAATTTGTTAAGCAAGTAAAAGCACCATTAATGTCATAAAGCTATTATTCAAATTCCTTCCCCTTGCAAGACCAAAGAGATCATTTAATTCTCTTGTCACCACAGTGCCACACACAACACCAAAGAATGAGAAGTAAGTGCAGCAGAGGTTCAACAAAAGCCAGGTGCTGGCTGACAGTGAAAAAAATCACACTAGGAAGACAGTTTAAAAAATATCCCTGAGGACCGGGGATTTAGCTCAGTGGTGCTGCGGCCTGCCTCACAAGTACAAGGGCTCAAGTTCAATCCCTGGTACAAAAAAGAAAAAGCAAACAACAACAATCCCTGAACCCCATTCTAGAGATCCAAACCAGATCTTCTGGAGAACTCAGAGAGATACACATGCATGCGCGCACACACACCATTTTTTGAGTGGCTGAGGATCTAACCCAGGGTTTTGCACACTCTAGGCAAGCAGCCTCAGAAAGAGAATACACAGAACTCATTGGTATACTAGTCCATCAAACTCTCTGATAAAGCTTCCCAAACTGCTGTGGGGCCGCCTCAGTCACCGTGTTCAAGAATTCCAAGCCACACATGGACAAGCTGAATGGAGGAAGATTTAAATCAAATACCATTTTTACCTTCAGGGGAAGTTCAGATCCTAGAAATCTATCACTACAAAGCTCCATCCCATGCAAATGACAGAAATAATCTGCAAAGATGTTTCTCTTTCCCAGAGGTAGGACAAGAGGGAAGTTGCTCACATAGTTCTTGACTTCCCGACGCGCGTTAGCATCGATAGCAAGCCACCTCTGCTGATACTGCGCCTTGATGTCTGGATCCTTCGATGTCAAAGAGTTCTTGATTTGTAGACCAGCTGCAACTCTGGCAACCTGACTGTTTCCTGGATTTGCCAGCACTCTGGACAGTTCCACAAGAAAAGTGGGCTGTTAAAAGAGAAGATTGATTCTGTGAGCAAAAGATCTCTTGGGAACGTTAACAACCACAGATACCTTCTAGAACACTAAATCATTGGAGGGAGAAACTTTCTAGAATGTATCACACACAGCCCAGGAAAGCACTTGTCCCACAAGCTTGGCAGCTTGTGCCTATCCTACTATCAGGATCACCCTGCCAGGCGAGGTGGCACACGCCTGTAATCCCAGCACTCGGGAGGCTGAAGCAGGAGGATCGCTGTGAGTTTGGGACCAGCCTGGGCTACATAGTGAGTTCCAGGTCAGTCTCAACTACATAGTGAGATCCTGTCTCAAAAAACCAAAAAACCAAAAGAAAAAAACAAAAACAAAAAAAAACACATCAGCCTAAGTGCCCAAAGCTTCAAATCAGATTCCTGGAATTAAAGCAAATTTGACAGCCTGATAGCCAGTGGATTTTTCATGTACAATGAAGTGTCCCAGGCACCTAGAACAATGCCTAGCACTCAGTATTTGTTAACTGAATGAATGTAATGAGAAAAAGCAAAAAATATTTTTAAGTAAAAAAAATTTATTCCAAGAAATGATATTCAAGATTGCTTTTGACCCATGAAAGCAGGTAACTTTTCACAAAAGAGAAACCACTTACAGATTTAGACTGAGACTCAGAAACGCTAGTTTTCCTTCCACATTTTAGGACGTGCAGCAAAAAAAGTAGATTTAGGGCTGGGGATTTAGCTCAGTGGTTCCACTGCCTGCCTGCCTTACAAGAGCACAGGGACCAGAGTTCAATCCCCAGTACCAAA